TAATCAAATTCATAGAAAGTGGAATGGTAGTTACCAGGGTCTTCAGGGAGGGGGAAGTGGGGAATTACTTAGTTTCAGTTTGGGAAGATGAAAAATTCTGGAAATTGATAATTGCTGGACAATAAGTTACTTAATGCCCCAGAAATGTAGAGTTAAAAATCATTAAAATGAGGGCACCTGGCAGGCTTGTTCACTGGAGCGTGTGACTCTTGATCTCAGGGTTGAGGGCCGATGTGTTTTTGTTTTTGTTTTTTTCGATTTTATTTATTTCTTTGACAGAGACACAGTGAGAGAGGGAACACAAGCAGCGGGAGTGGGAGAGGGAGAAGCAGCTTCCCGCAGAGCAGGGAGCCCGATGCGGGGCTCGATCCCAGGAGCCTGGGATCATGACCTGAGCTGAAGGCAGACGCTTAATGACTGAGCCACCCAGGTGCCCCTTGGGGTTGTGATTTTGAGCCCCATGTTTGTCATAGACTTTACTTAAAAAAAATACAGTTAAAATGGTAAATTGTATGTTATTTAAATACTTTTATGAGCCAAGCACTGGGTTGAGATGTAGGAATGAGATAGGCATGGTCCCTTCCTTCACTTAGTTGAACCAGCAGAGAAGACAAGTAGAATACTTAACTCTATTGGGTATAACCTTCTCAGGATGGCCTTCACTAATCCTCTATTTAAAGCTGCTATGCTCCCCCCACTTTTTATTTTCCTCAGAGCGTTTATCACTGTCAGAAGTTTACCTTATGTGTATATTTCTCTTATTAGTCTCTCAGTTTCTTAAGAGACAGATACTTCCTGGTTTACCATTATAGCTCACTCAGCACCTAGAACAGTAGCTGGTGTGTAGTAGATGTTATATAAATATTTTTATGTTAATAAACACTGTAATATGGGAGATATAAGTTTCTTTGGGGGAAGAATGAGGAGGGACAGATTTGTGTGGGGATAGGAGTTTATTTAGAGAACACTTACAAGAAATGACATGTAAACTTAAGTTCTAAAGGAAAGATAAAGATTTTTTAAAAAGTAGAAAAGAGAGGGGCAGCTGGGTGGCTCAGTAGTTAAGCGTCTGCCTTCGGCTCAGGTCATGATCCCAGGCTCCTGGGATCGAGCCCCGCATCGGGCTCCCTGCTCCGCGGGAAGCCTGCTTCTCCCTCTCCCACTCCCCCTGCTTGTGTTCCCTCTCTGGCTGTGTCTCTCTCTGTCAAATAAATAAATAAAATCTTTAAAAAAAAAAAAGTAGAAAAGAGAGTTTTAGGTAGCAGGGAGATAGTATTCAGGTAACTGAAGGTAGTTCACTAGGGCTCAAGAGGGGTATGGGTGTGTGGGAAGGCTTTGGAGAGAGAAGAGGCAGTAGTGCTCCAGGTCATGAAGGACCGTGTAAGCTATGACGTTAAAGCTGCCAGTTGATGACATCCTTTTCTTTCCCCCGTCTAGGTGGCCCACAAACTCTTTAACAGCTTGAAATAAATGTGCATACTTCACCCCCGCCTTCATCACCCGGGCATCAGGATATTTCATGGTTTCGACCATGCCATTTGTTTCTTATCTGTGTAACTGTACGTTCATGTGAACCCCATGGATCTTGGCTTAGGCAAGTAACTTCTATGTAATTAGCAGTGATTCCTCTTAATAAAGTCCAGTGATCTGCAGACCTGCTGCCTCCTTTCCTCTTTTTTTTTTTTTTTTTTAATTTGAAAATCTCAAACATAAGACTAGGTAGAACAATAATCAACACCCATGTACCCATCACCCAGCAAGTATGTATCTCTTTTTTATTTTTATTTTTTAAGATTTATTTATTTGAGAGACAGTATGTGCTGGGGTAGGGGCAGAGGGACAGGCAGACTGCCTGCTGAGCAGGGGAGCCCAATGCGGGACTCAATCCCAGGACCCCGAGATCATGACCTAAGCCAAAGGCAGACACTTAACCTATTGAGCCACCCAGGCGCCCGCAAGTATGTATCTCTTAATGATAAGGACTAACAAAGTTTACCTTGATGCCATTATCGCAGTTAAAATGAACAGTGATGGATGACTTAATTTTATTGGATACCCAGTCGATATGAAAGTCTCCTACCACAGAAGTGTCTTTTGACAGTTTTTGGTCTCAGTGTCCAACAAGGTTGCTTTTTTCTTTAAAAAAGATTTTATTTGATGGGGCACCTGGGTGGCTCATTCGTTAAGTGTCTGCCTTCGGCTCAGGTCATGATCCCAGGGTCCTGGGATCAAGTCCTGCATTGGGCTCCCAGCTCAGGGGGAAGCCTGCTTCTCCCTCTCCCACTCCCCTGTTTGTGTTCCCTCTCTTGCTGTGTCTCTGTCAAATAAATAAAATCTTTAAAAAAAAAAAGTAAATTTATTTGAGACAGAGCATGAGTGGGGGGAGGGGCAGAGGGTAAAGCAGGCTCTTTCAGTCTATTGTCCTAGCTACAGGGATGGCCAGCATTTCACAGCCATTTCTGATTTAGAACCCATTTCATGGTGATGTATAATCTCACAAATAACTTTATAAATGGTGGCATTGTATTTGTTGTATGTAATGTGATTATTTTCAAACATCTCATTAAAATTTCAAACATACGGCAAAGCTGAAAATTTACAGTGAACATCCCTAAACTCATTACTCAGATTTTAACGAATGGTATTCTAGTGTTAGTGTTATCACAGAAAGGAGGAATTACTCAGAGAAATAGCTCCAGAATTCTGCCTAGAGGATGCTTGAGTCAGTTGGCTAAATATTAAGCTGCAAATGAATAGGGCAAAGCTCCCGTGTAGCCAGGCAATGAACTACTGGGTACTTATAAACTGAATAATACCCAAAGTTAACAGAAGGCTGGGAGATATTTGAGTTTTGACCAGCTAATGTGGGGAATTTTATTGAACTTGTTGAACACCTGTTGTTCAATGAACAAGCATTGAACTTGAACTCCAGAAGAGGGCGTTTCAGCAGTAGGCTAAAATTAGCCCTAGAAAGAGGCCACTCAAGATAGTCTATACCCCATCTTAAAAAGGAGCCTTGAAAGGATCAAGCTGATTCACAAAAATATCTGACTGCCTGCCAGAACAAAGTCCAAGACATTTTAAAAGAAGTCAACAAAATCCAGCAATCAACAATGTAAATTTTATAATACCAAACATTCAATAAAAAATCGCTAGACCTGCAAAAAAAGCAGGCAAATGTGACCAGGAGAAAAATAGTCAATAAAAACAGACACATGATGATAAGATGATAAAATTAAGTAGACAAGGACTTTGAAAGCACTATTACAAATATACCAAAGGATTTAATGGAAATGAACATAATGAGAGAAGTAGAAAGTATAAAATGAATCAAATAGAATTTTTGGAACTTAAAAGTACAATATCTGGGGGCGCCTGGGTGGCTCAGTTAAGTGTCCCAACTCCTGGTTTCAGCTCAGGTCATGATCTCAGGGTTGTGAGATTGAGCCCCAGATGGGCTCCTCGCTCAGCACCAAGTCTGCTTAAGATTCTCTCCCTTTCCCCCTGCCCCCACTCGCATGTTCTCTTTCTCAAAAAAAAAAAAAAGTACAATATCTGAAATTTAAAATTCACTTAAGATTGGCAAAAGATTACACACTGAAGAAGAAAAAGAATAGGTGTGCTTGTATGTTCTTGAAGACACAGCAGCAGAAACCATAAAAACTTGAAGCACAAGAGAAAAAGAAACACTAAAAATAGATGAACAAGGAAAAGGTAAGCTGTGCGATAATGCCAAATGGCCCAGAAGGGGGAGGGGGGGGATTGGAGGGAAGAAAGAAAAGAAATTTTTTTTACCAAAATTACTTTTTTTGAAGTATACCAAATTACTTTATTTGAAGGAATGTTAAAAATGAAAGAAAAGTCGACGTTTTGGAACAGAAAAAAAAATTTTGAGGGGTGCCTGGGTGGCTCAGTCAGGTGAGCATCTGCCTTCAGCTTGGGTCTTGATCTCGGGATCCTGGGATCAAGCCCCGCATTGGGCTCCCTGATCAGTGGGGTGTCTGCTTCTCCCTATGCCCTTCCTTGTGCTCTCTGTCTCCAATAAATAAATAAATCTTTAAAAAAAATTTGAAACAGTAATGGTTGAAATTTTCCAAGTATAATGAAAATTATAAACTCACAGTTCCCAGAAGCTCAACAGACTCCAGCCAGAATAAACAGGAAATCACATCAAGTCACTTACCCCCAAATTGCTGAAAACTAGTGATAAGAAAATCTTAAAGAGAAAAGATGCATTACATACAGAGGCACAACAGTAAATTACTACCCACTTCTCTTAAGAAATCTTTAAAGTGTTGAAAGAAGTAAATATCCCAGAATTCCATATCTAGTGAAAATATCCTTAAATGAAAAAATTAGGATGTTTTAAACAAATGAAAGGTGAGAGAATTCATTGTCAGCAGACTTGGACTCTAAGAAAGATTAAAGGAAGTTCTTAAAAAAAAAAAGACACTAAATGGAAACTGATCTACATAAAGAAATGAACAGTCCCAGAAATGGTAAATAATGGGTAAATAGGGGAAGGGAAAAAAAAGAGAGGGAGGCAAACCATAAGAGATTCTTAATGATAGAGAACAAACTGAGGGTTGCTGGAGGGGAGGTAGGTGGGAGATGGCCTAGATGGGTGATGGGTATTAAGGAGGGCACCTGTTGTGATGAGCACTGGGTGTTATATAAGTGATATAAGTGATGAATCACTAAATTCTACTCCTGAAGCCAACATTACACTATATGTTATATATAAATTCTATAAATAAAAACTTGAAAGAAACAAGGGGTGCCTGGGTGGCTCAGCTGTTAAGCATCTGCCTTTGGCTAAGGTCAGGATCCCAGGGTCCTGGGATTGAGCCCCGCGTAGGGCTCCTTGCTCAGCGGAGAGCCTGCTTCTTCCTCTCCCTCTGCTGCTCCCCCTGCTTGTGCGCTCTCTCTTTCTGTGTCTCTGTCAAATAAATAAATAAAATCTTAAAAAAAAAAAACAAACTTAAACAATAAATGAGTAATAGAATAAGTATTTTATTTAAAAATTTTATTTAAAAGGTAGTTAGCAGGGCGCCTGGGTGGCTCAGTTGGTTGAGCGACTGCCTTTGGCTCAGGTCGCGATCCTGGAGTCCCGGGATCGAGTCTTACATCGGGCTCCCTGCTCGGCGGGGGGTCTGCTTCTCCCTGTGACCCTCTTCCCTCTCGTGCTCTCTGTCTCTCATTCTCTCTCTCAAATAAATAAATAAAATCTTAAAAAAAAATTAAAAAAAAAGGTAGTTAGCAATAAAAAGAACACATTAAGTAGAAAGAAAGAAATTATAAAGAAATTTATGAAGTAGAAAAGAAAGGAGAAAACCAACAAAACCACAAACTGTTTCTTTGTAAAGTCAATAAAATAAACCTCTAGGTAGGCTGATAAAATTACCCGAGAGAGAAGACACAAATTACCAGTATCAGTGATGAGAGAGGGGACATTACTATAGATCCTACAAATCGGGTCAGCAGCTTTTTTCTGTAAAGATTCAGATAGCAAATATTTTTGGATTGTGGAGCATATGATCTCTAGAGCAACCATTCATCTCTATTGTTGTAAAGGAACCACAGTAAATAAAAGGTGTGGCTGTGTAAAAATAAAGCAGTATTTAAAAAATGGGTGGAAGGCTAATTTGGCCTGTGCTGTAGTTTGACGCCCCTTGCTAAACACACTAAAAGGAAGAAATCTGCCAACTTACATGAAATGAACATATTCTTTAAAAGTCTCAAATTGTTGGGGCGCCTGAGTGGCTCAGTTGTTAAGTGTCTGCCTTCGGCTCAGGTCATGATCCCAGGGTTCTGGGATCAAGCCCCGCATCGGGCTCCCTCCTTCGCGGGAAGCCTGCTCCTCCCTCTCCCACTCCTCCAGCTTGTGTTTGTTCTCTCGCTGTGTCTCTCTCTGTCAAATAAATAAAATATTTAAAAAATAAAATAAAATAAAAGTCTCAAATAGTTAAAACTGCTACAAGAAGAACTGGAAAATTCAAATAGCCCTATATCAGGGTTTCTCAAATTTTAGCAGTCTTGACATTTTGGGCTAGATAATTCTTTGTGTGGGGGCATAGGGTTTGCAACAGCATCCCTGGCTTCTACCCACCAGATGCCAGAAGCACTGTCTAGTTATAATAATCCCAAATATCTCCAGAGGTTACCAAGTGTCCCCTGGGGAAGGGGCATCATCTCTGGTTGAAAATTACTGCCCTATATCAACGAAAGAAATTGAATTCATAATTAAAAACCTTCCCTTCCTCCTCACCCTGTACTCCCACCCCTGCAAAACAAAAAAACACCCAAACACCCAACTCCAGGCCCAGAAGTCTTCACTGCTGAATTTGCAAGAATTTAAGGAAGAGTGGCGCCTGGCTGGCTCAGTCGGAAGAGCATGTGACTCTTGATCTTGGGGTTGTGAGTTTGAGCCCCACATTGGGTGGAGAGATTACTTAAATAAATAAAACTAGGGGCGCCTGGGTGGCTCAGTCGTTAAGCATCTGCCTTCGGCTCAGGTCATAATCCCAGGGTCCTGGGATGGAGCCCCGCATCGGGCTCCCTGCTCCACAGGAAGCCTGCTTCTCCCTCTCCCACTCCCCCTGCTTGTGTTCCCTCTCTCGCTGTCTCTCTCTGACAAATAAATAAATAAAATCGTAAAATAAATAAATAAATAAACTAAAAAAAAATAATTTAAGGAAGAAATGATACCAATTCTATAAAAATTCTTACAGAAAATAGAAGTGAAGGGATAGTTCACAAACTCATTTATGAGTTCATCATTACCCTACATCAAAATCAAAGATATTACAGAAAAAGAAAATTTCCGGTCATTATGCTCCATGAACACAAATGCAAGAATGTAACAATATATAAAAAGAATAATACATCATGAACTTGTATGTTTTTTTACAGGAATGCAAAGTTGGTTCATCATTTGAAAATCAGTCAATATAATTCATCATATTAACGATAAAGCAGAAAAAACATGATCAACTCAAATGCAGGAAAAGCATTTGAAGAAAGTCAACAACCATTCATGATTTTTATTTATTATTATTATTTTTTTTAAAGATTTTATTTATTTATTTGACAGAGAGAGACACAGCGAGAGAGGAAACACCAGGAAGGGGAGTGGGAGAGGGAGAAGCAGGCTTCCCGCTGAGCAGGGAGCCCAATGTGGGGCTTGATTTCAGGACCCTGGGATCATGACCTGAGCCGAAGGCAGACGCTTAAAGAAAGAGCCACCCAGGTGCCCCTCATTCATGATTTTTAAAAAAATCTTAGCAAAGTAGGAAAGAAGGCAACTTTCTCAATCTAGTAAAGGACACCTGTTGTAAAAAAAAAAGCTAGAGTTAACATGATATATATTGATGAAATACTGAATGCTTTCCCCTGAAGAATGGACACAAGTCAGTCTACTAACATCTGTATTGAACTGTGTACTGTAAATTATAAACAGTAAAAGGATGCAAAGGAAAAAAAAGGAATTCAGATTGGAAAGAAGTGTCTTTATAGAAGACATAACCTTGTGCATAGAAAAAGTGAAAATATTTCCAAAAAAGTTATCAAAACATAATTTAGCTTAGCAAGATCTCAGGATATAAGATCAATAGACAAAAATCAATTATATTAAAAAAATCAATTATATTTTAATAGCATTTTCTTGAAAAATGAACAAAGTAAGCCTGTCACTTCAAGGAAAACAATTGATAGTACTAGTTGTCAGAGATAAAAATTTAGCTTTCAAGCAAAATGAGGATTGGGAGGGGCGCCTGGCTGGCTCAGTCGGTGGAGTGTGCAACTCTTGATCTCAGGGTTGTGGGTTTGAGCCCCACGTTGGGCATAGAGATTACTTAAAATAAAATAAAATAAAATAAATTAGGATTTTGAAAAACTTACGCCCACTATTGTGAACTTAAAAGCGTCCTAATATTTAAAGACTTTTCTTTTTTAAAGATTTTTATTATTTATTTAAGAGAGAGAGCACAAGCAGGGGGAGCTGCAGAGGGAGAAGGAAAAGCAGGCTCCCTGCTGAGCAGGGAGCCGAACTGAGCCAAAGACAGAGCCACCCAGGCGCCGATGGGTAAACAGGAGGTTGGGGGTTGGAAGGGGTCCTTCACAAGGAGATGGTGATTGTGGTCCTGACACTCCATATTTGGTATAAACCTTTGAGAACAGGTATTCTGGGATACCTCCTATTTAGAGTATTCAATCTCTGCTCGCTGACTGGATCCTTATCTGGATTTAAATGTCATGAGCCACTTCTTTTTTCTTTCTTTCTTTCTTTTGGTGCAAAAAAGTGTTTTTATGATAGCATGGGGACAGGACTGGTGCGCAGAAAGAGCTTCCATGAACTTTTTTTAAAAAAGGCTTTTCTCTATGCACATATCTCCCTCCATCTTACAAGTGCTAGGTCCCTGTAACAAATTTCTCATCTTTCACTCACTCACTCACTCACTCATTCAATAAATATTTATTGAGAGCAAAATATGTACCATACACAGTTCTAGGTGCTGATAATTCAACAATGAATAAACAAAATCCTTGGGCGCCTGGGTGGCTCAGTTGGTTAAGCGACTGCCTTCGGCTCAGGTCTTGATCCTGGAGTCCCTGGATTGAGTCCCTGCATCGAGTCCCGCATGGGGCTCCCTGCTCGGCAGGGAGTCTGCTTCTCCCTCTGACCCTCCCCCTTCTCATGTGCTCTCTCTCTCAAATAAATAAAATCTTTAAAAAAAATAAAATCCTTGATTTTTAAAATCTTACATTCTAATGAGGGGGAAAATAGTAAGAAAAACTGTCCAGAACTTGTAAAGGGGCAGGAGAGAACTACTGGGTGCTAGGGTATACCTTTGATAGACTTTATATTGACTAGGCTACTGCAGAACTTTGTAGGGGTAAAGGTTAACTTGTAGAAAACCAATGGCAATGCAAATGATTCCTAGCCATAGTAATGCAACTGAATTTTGATCAGTAGAGATGGAATTGATTTCCATCTGGTAGAAGCAATAAGCATTACAGTTTATTACTTAATAAGATATTAATGGTTTTACAACTCTTAGCAAGTTGATTTCAGTATTCCTTTGGCTGATAACCTAAATCTCTTAAACTCAAATTCTCATTTGAACAAGTCTTTTTTTTTTTTTTTAAAGATTTTATTTATTATTCATTTGACAGAGAGAGACAGCGAGAGAGGGAACACAAGCAGGGGGAGTGAATTGTTTATTCATTGCAGGATGCTGGGATCATGACCTGAGCCGAAGGCAAACGCTTAACGATTGAGCCACCCAGGTGCCCCTCATTTGAACAAGTCTTACCATCTAGCTGGTTCCCTCATTATTTAGGATAATAATGGAGAAGCAGTTTATTATGATAAATAAAATCTTTGGCATGTGTTCATTTTATCTTTGTATAAGAATTATGTTTCCAATCTTTTGAAAATTATAATTTAGCAGACTGTATGAAAAAATACATGATATAATAAAAGCAGGTTAAGAGGACAGCTATTAACTGGTGGTGTAGCATGTACTAGTTTAAATAGATGGGGCCAATCAATCAACAAATCCTGTAATTCTCTCTGAATTGTAAGTGGAATCAATCCTTTTCTATCTTCACTGGCACTACACTAATTCAGAACCATCTTCTTTCATCTGATTTCCCTGCCATAATCCTATTTACTCCAATCATCAACGGTCAGATGATTTTTCTTTTTTTTTTTAGTGATAAACACAAGATTCTATTTGTGATATTTAAAGTTTTGGTAACTACTCCTGTAAATGTGGAAATAAAAGTGTATGTTTTTCACTGGAACTTTACAACTCACATTAAGAATAATACTGTTTAGGGAAGCCTGGATGGCTCAGTTGGTTGAGCGTCCGCCTTTGGCTCAGGTCATGATCCCAGGCTCCTGGGATCAAGTCCCGGATGGGGCTCCTTGCTCAGTGGGGAGCCTATTTCTCCTCCTGCCTGCCGCTGCTCACCCTGCTTGTGCTCTCCCCCGGCTGTGCTCGCTTTCACTCTCTCTCTGACAAATAAATAAAATCTTAAAAAAAAAAAAAAAAGAACACAGTTTGAGCAAAGGTTAAAAATTCCCTCATTCACATGTAGCTTTGACAGTTCACAATCCATAAAATACTGGAAAAGCTCAAAGTGCTACAAAGTTTCTTCACTACTTCTAATTTTCTATGGTAGTGAAGAGATTGTCTTAAAATTCACACTTGCTTCATCACTCCTGTAACTCCAGTAAAAATGTACCCAAATTTCCTGCCTTCTGAAAGCGATATGACTCTTCGATGGAGTTTGAAACAGTGACTGATTACTTTTGAATACTTAAGCTCCACTGGCTGACAGCTCACATCTGTACTTCTGACTCACTACCTAGAGATCAGAGGTCCCCACGAACCCCTCCTTGGGCTGTAGTAACTTGCTGGAGCAGGTCATAGCTCTCAGGAGACCCGTTTCTCACTTGATCACTGGTTTATTACTAAAGGATATAACTCAGGACAGTCAGGTGGAAGAGATGCATAGTGCAATGTATAGATAGGGAAAGGACATGGAGTTTCCATGCTCTCTCCCAGCACTTCGGTGTATTCACCAACCGGTAAGCTCCCAGATGATCATTTTTAAAAACACCTATCTGATCATATTCTTCCTTTCTACGGGCTCCCTATGGTGAAGTCAAGTTCTATGGCGCCTATAGCTTACACAATTCAAGGGCCCTCTTGGTAAGAAAAACAATACAATATTAAGGACAGAGCCTTGGAAGGGGCACTGGAAATAGGTTCTTCAAGCTTCGTTAGCTCCACTATAAATCCGCCTCTGCCCACAAATCTGTCCTCGTTTTTCTCTGCCTCAGGATCTTTCTGCTTGGAAGGCCCTTCCCGACCCTTTTTGCCTAGCTAACTCTTTCAGTACTCAACTGCCAGCGCCTAGTCCTCTCTGATCCCCCAACTGGGTTAGGGGCCTTTACGCAGTCTCTCCCAATGCTCCAAGCAGAGGCATCTTTCTGTGCGAGTGGTTCCTCTTTCCCAACACCCACAGAAGATCCCTGGCGGAGCGGGGTTTGCACCTGGTTTGTAAAGGTGGGCTGAACCCCGGAAGAGAGACCGCCGGAATTCCCTCCTATTTTCGCCCAGAGTGGCGCCACCACCTCTCCGGAACCCGCGGGTCCGCTGTTGCGGTTCAGGTCGGAATTATTCGGCGGTGCACGCTGATATGGCTGCGCTGGTAGTGAGACGAGTTCGGGACGTGCTGAAGCGTGCACACTTCGCGACCATCCCGCGGAGACATCGACATAAGAAGAAATGGGTAAGATCCGGCCGGTGGCCCAGGAGGGAACAGCGATAGCGGCCTTTTGCCGCCGCCCCTCGGGAAACTTCTCCAGCCCCGCCACTTCCCAACCCTCTCGGATGGGTTCACTGCTCCCGCCCCTCGGGAACGCCTTCGGCCTCTTTCCCCCGCCCCTCAGGGTGCGTCTCTAGGCTCCTCCCCTTCACATCTGTTACGTATTCGCGTCTATCGCCCTTTTATTTCGTCACAAAGCTTGGGCTGTCGCTCGGGTTACGTCTGAGCCCTCCCGACTCCGCCCCTCTAAGTTACGTCATCACCGCCGCCCTCATTCTTTCAGTTATGTCACCGCTTCTTGTTCCCCGGCTCTCGGTTACCGTCCCCTTGGCCCCCACTACCCCTTCCACTTCCCCTCCTCCCTCTCCGTCCCCTTCTTTCCTACCCCGTCCCCCCTTTCTCCCTCCCTCCATGACCTCTTCTCCGCCTTTCCTCCTAGAACTTTCAGCCCGGCCGCCCTCACCCCTCGAAAAATGTTTTAGCGACAACCCCTTCCTTCCTGGGTCTGCGCCGCCCTCCGAGAAAGGATTCAACCCCATCCTCACCCTCGAGCTGCCTCTGGTGTCCAGGAAAGGTTACAGCGATCACCCTGCCCACACTCCTGGCCTTTCCCCAAACTCAGGCAAAGGGTGCAGCGACTCCCCTCAACCCCTGGACTCTCCCCACTTCTCCAGAGACCCTTTCTCTGGCCTCACCTGTAGGCCAGGAATTTCTTCCCTAACCGCCACGCCCCCCTCCCTACCGCGACCGATTCCCTCCCCGCCCCCACCGCCCCCCTCTCCACCTTCACAGCCTCCCCTGCGCCCGGGGAGATGTTCGTTTGAACCATGTTCTCCACTCCTTGGAAGGCCTTTCCGCCGCGAGCCTATCCTCTCTGGTTCGACCCCTTCGAGCCCTTGTTTTGAGCGGTTCAGCCTTCTGGGGTCACCCCCTGTTCGTCCACGGAGCCCTTATTGCAGCTGGATCAGTCCCCCGAGAACACCGCATCCCTGTCCGCGAAGCCCTTGCATTGACCAGCAGGCTTGCCTCTGTTATTGTGGTGGATACCCTTCAGTCCTGGTAACCAGCCCGGTGACTTCCCCTACTCTCCCTCATCGGCCATTGGGAACCAGCCCCGTGACTTCTCCTGTCCTCCCTCATGGGCCTTTGGAAACTGGCCCCATGATTTCATCTTCCATCACTCCTGGGTCCCAGGGAACTTGCCCCATTATTTCACCTACTCTTACTCATAGGCCCCTGGGAACTGCCGTCGTTATTTCACCTCCTCTTGCTCACCGGCCGGTGGAAATTAGATCTGTAGTTTCCCCACCCCTTTCTTCCAGGGTTTTGGAAACTGCGCCCAGGGTCTCCCCTCTGCTCTGTCCCTGGTCCTCAGGCAGAAGTTACAATGACCCTCCACCTTCCCCTGCATCTTCCCCACACACTGGCAGCTTTTGCCGTAGCCACCTTAAGCCTCCGGACCCTTGTGAACCTAAACCACAGCTTGACCTGCCCCTTGGGAAAAATTGCTGTGGCTCCCCACTTTCTTCTCAGGCAGGCACATCTGGCTCTCCCAGCTCACGTCAGGAGGGCTCTTTTCACTATTCCCATTTTTCTCAAGAGGCTGCCCTTGGTAGCCCTTGTTGTGCCATCCGTCTACCTGCTAAGAGTACTTGTTCTCCTTGCTCACCCCAGTCCCAGGCTCCTGTGAAGCCTTGCTTTGAATCCATTTTCGCCTGGGAGACTGGTGGGAACTCTTGCCTCTTTGTAGAGCCAGGCACCACGATTTCTTGTCCCCCCTGTCCCCAGGAACCACCTCTTCCCCTGTCCTCTCACTGTCCTTATTCTGTCTTCTCCTTCCCTTCACCCTTGGGCAACCAGTTTATATCTCCACCCCAGTCACCCTCCCGCAGAGGCTATAACGAACCCCCTCTCCCTACCTCAGTTGGCCCACAAGTGAAGTCCCCCAAATCCTCAGAGTTAAAACAACCACATGCTCTCCACAGATGTCGCTCCCTGATCATCCCTCTCCAGCACACTCCTCTTGACCTGCCCAGGCCCCCTAAGGCCAGTGCTTCTCCTCCACCTCCCTCCTGCCCTTCTGGTCCTTCTTGTATGGTGACATCCATTACCACTTCCTCAAATCCCTGCCCCAAAGAACTTCCCCAAGGACCTGCCTTACCTACTGTGATCCCTAAAACCCTCAAACCTGTTCTCCCCACTTGTCTTCCCCTTCGCCTTCCTCTTTGTCCTGTCCCACCCAATAGTTATGTTCAGAGCACCTCCTATGGACTCCCCATAGGACCCCCGTGCAATACCCATATATATTCTGTGGTTCCCCCCACCTCTGATCCTTGCCCATTCCTCGGCCCCCCTCAGTGTCATAAACTGACCGTGGGGCCCCCCTGTGGCATCTATAGCACTCCCAGGGGCCCACCCCAATCTCATCGCCAGCCTGTACCACCTCCCTGTTCCACCCACATCTATTCTTTTATCCCTTTGCGAGCACCCTTTGATCCTCAAAGTTTACCCATTGTCCCCCAAGCCCGGTGCCACCCTGTGGCCTGTGACACCATGCCCTGTGGCCTCCATGTCTATTCTGTGGCTCCTCGAGGCTGCTGCAAAGAGCCCCCTCAGGTTCCCTATAGCTGTCCTTTGCCTTCTTCCAAGACTTCCAGCTGTAGCACTGATCTCAGCTGCAGTTCAGCTGTTGTTATCAGTGAATGCCAGAGTAGTGACAGCCAGAGCAAGAATACCCACCAAAGCAGAAATCGGGGCCGGAGTGAGAATAGCCACCACCCCAGCAGAAGTCAAAGTCAAAGCAAGAGTCTCGATCCTCAAAGAAGTCAGAGCCGGAACAGGAGTCCCAGTCGAAAGAGAAGTCAGAGCCGGAGCAATGGTCCCCACCAAAGCATAAGTCAGGATAAGAGCGAGAGTTCTCAGTGTAATGGAAATCAGGGCCAGAGTGAGAGTTCTCAACGTAGCAAAAGTCAGGGCACCGGCAAGAGTGCCCTCCGTGGTGAAAGTCGGAGCCGAAGTAAGAGTCCCCGCCACGGCAAAAGGCGGGGCCACGGCAGGAGTCCCCACCGTAGCAGGAGCCGGAGCAATAGTCCCTGCCCCGGCAAAGGTCATGGTCGGAGCAAGAGTCCCCGCCATAACAAGAAATGAGGGCCAGAGGAAGAGTTCTGACCAGACCAAAGTGTAGGCCAGAGCAAAATGAACAGACAGTAATAGGACTGCTAGCCCGACCGAGTGTCCCAGCTGTGGCTACAAGAACCTACCTGAGGACCCCTCAGCTGATGTCTTCATTTTCCTTTTAATCTGTGTTTATGCTCTGCATGCCTGAATCCTGTCCCTCTCTGCTACCCCCATAGAAGTCCCTGTTTTGGTTTATACCACAAGGTTTCTAGGAGTTCTCCTTATCCCACCTTCCTGGGCTCTAGGAACTCTCCCAAAATGACCCTCAACCCTGTTATTCTGAGCATTATGGTGTCAGTCACTGCATGACCTTAGGTAAGTTACCTTTATCTTTCCATCAAATGTGGAAGGTTGATATTTGTATCCCACTGAGCTGTCTTTTGTGGTGCTCACATAAGCTAGGAGACAAGAAAATGCCTTAGAAGACGGAAGGGCTGTTCAGAGAGAAAGCATCTTTTGTTTTTAAGGCTGAGGCTTCCCCCAGGGCCCTCATAGTTTCTTTTTCTTTTCTTTTTTTTTTTTTTTTAAAGATTTTATTTATTTATTTGACAGAGACAGAGACAGCGAGAGCAGGAACACAAGCAGGGGGAGTGGGAGAGGGAGAAGCAGGCTTCCCGCTGAGCCGGGAGCCCGATATGGGACTTGATCCCAGGACCCTGGGATCATGACCTGAGCCGAAGGCAGTTGCTTAACCAACTGAGCCACCCAGGCGCCCGGGCCCTCATAGTTCTTCCAACCTTCTGTAGACTCTCCTCAAAAGTCCTATCGTGAGCTTCCATTCTCTTAAGTTCTTCTTACTCCCAGGCCTCAAGGATTGCCCCCTTTCTTGGTGACCCGCACATGCCGTTGTGAGAGCTACAGCTTGCTTTCTCACAACCCTGAGACAGAAAGGCCAGCTCCCCACTACTTTTCTCTTTCATACTTCTTTTCTGGCGGGCAGAGGCAGGATGCAGAGGCAGGAGTGGGCAGTGGCTGGATCCGCGTTTGCTGCAGGGCTCTGAGGTATTGGTGAGGTCAGGTGGTAGGGGAGAGGCAAGACTGGAAGACCAATAAGCCTGTTCTTTTCCTTTCAGGCTGCCACGGAGCCCAAATTTCCTGCCACTCAACTGGCTCTGCAGAATTTTGACATGACTTACAGTGTGCAATTTGGTGATCTCTGGCCATCCATCCGGGTCAGTCTCCTTTCAGAGCAGAAGTATGGTGCACTGGTCAATAACTTTGCTGCCTGGGATCATGTGAGTGGTGAGCTGGAGCAACTGAGGGCCAGGGACTTTGTGAAGGAAGCCATTTCCCACGGGGAACTGGAGCCCGAGGGTGGCCAGACTCCAACTCCAACTCCAGCCTCCGGGGCCTACAGCCCGAACCTTCGATGCTTCACTTTTGCCAGAGGGGATGTCAGTCGGTTCCCTCCTGCCAGGTAGGATCTGGGTTGTCCTGAGTGTGCTGGAAGTAGACAGAAAGAGACCCAGCTCTTGTCCTGTTTCATAAGGATCATAATATTGCTGATATTTTTCGAGTGCTTATATATGCTAGGTGTTTTTCTAAGTGTTGTGTGTGCGTTATCTCCTTTTGTTCTGTCAACAGCCCTCTGAGGTAGGTAATCTTATTGTTCCTCTTTTACATTTGAGGAGACAGGTGCAGAGAAGTTAAGGTACTTGCTTGCTTTAGGTCCCTGAGAGAGCAAGTGGTACAGCTAGTATTTAGACCCAGGCAGGTTGATCCCAGAACCTGTTCTGCTCTGTTTTCCCCTATGGAAGACAGCCATCTCTAATTTGCGCACTTCCCGTGCCCTCTACAGTTAAAATGTGTATTATTTGCAACTGCTTTCTCATTTTGCCCTCTTAGCTCCCATCCAAGTGAGTAGGACAAGTAACCTCCTGGTACCAAAGAACGAGGGAGACTTACCTAGGGACACAAAGTTAGTACCAGAGGGGTTGGTGATGAGGGAACTTCTGGTCTTCTCATGCAGTGCTCAGCTGAAGCCTTCATGGAACTTACGGTCTAGTGAGGAAGACAATAGTTAAGAAACTATAATTGTGATAAGTGCTACGAAGGAAAAGTACAAGATGCTATGAAGTTTTATAATTAGGAGATCTAACCCAGTCTTTTCTGAGGAAATGAAATTTAAGCTAAGACCTGAAAATGAGTAGGAATTAAAGCTGGTGGCATGAGGGTGGGGATGGGGGTGCAAGGCTACAGAAGCTGGCAGAAGCCAGATTTTGAAGGTCTTCTAGGCCATGTGGGATTTTGGACTTTTTCTCTAAAAGAGAGAGGGAGCCATGAAAAGTTTTAAGGTGGGGAATGACATGACCAGATTTGAATTTTTAAAATTCTGGCTGCTGGGGCACCTGGGTGGCTTAGATGGTTAAGCATCTGCCTTCAGCTCGGGTCGTGATCCCAGGGTCCTGGGATCGAGCCCCACATCAGGCTCCTGGCTCAGCGAGGAGCCTGCTTCTCCCTCTCCCTCTGCCTCTCTCCCTGCTCATGCTTCTCTCTCTCTCTCTCTCTCTCTCTCTCTGTATCTCTGTGTCTCAAATGAATAAATAAAATCTTTAAGAAAAAAATTTAAAAAAAATTCTGGCTGCTGTGTGGAAAACAGATTGGAGGGGGCAAGGCTATGTATGACATATGAAATGGGGATGGAAATTAGGAAGCTTTTGCAATAGTTCTAGCTACTGGCTTGAGGGAAGGCTGCATGCTTAGGAAAACTAGGAGGTGAGGCTAGAAGAGTACGTGGGGGTGCTATGTGTGGGAATCTTGAATGCCAGGAACTTACAGGTTTAGAGAAGGGGATTTTCCTGATGGCCCAGGGTTGCTTATAAATGGCTAGACTTGCCAGGGCTGGATGGCTTCAGACCATGCACCCTTTAGTTCCATATTGCTGTAAATTGCCAAGATCTGTTCTAGAGAACCACTGGAAAGGATTTTTGAGTAGGGGAAAGGCAGTAATGCACAGTGGTTATAAGCATGGGATTTGGAGTCAAGAAAACCTAGATTTGGATTTTGCCTTCATCACTTATTGGGCATGTAGCTTTGGATAACTGACCCTTGGTTTCCTTATCTGGAAACGAATCTGGAAAATAATGGCACTGATACTCTAGCTCATGTGCCAGCTATTGTTCTAAGCACGTAACTTCTATTAATTCCTTTAATCCTCACAATCATCCTTTCTGGTAGGCACTCTTATTATAGACGAGGACACTGATGCACAGAGAAGTTGAGTAATTTGCTAAAGGCACACAGTTGTTGAGCAGCTGGGCTGGATCCAGATGGTCTGGCTCTGGAATCTGGGTTCTCCTGCCTCACAGGGTCCTAGTGAGGACTAAATGAAGTGATGTATCTGAGACACTAGTACAGCACCTACAGTATAGCACTCACAAACAGTATCTCTTACTGGTGGTATTCTTCTCATCAAAGTTATGCTTTAGGAAGATCATGTTAGTAAATTGGGGTGAGAGGGAGATAGATTGGGGCAGGGTTGGAGATCAATTTGGAGGCGCTGGTTTTAGGCAGAACTGTGGATGCAGCACCATGTGGTTTCCTAAGTTGCCTGAGGTGCTTGGCTTCTACTCAGAGAGGTTTGGGTTTCCTTCTTGTCTTGATAGGTTCCATATAAATCAAGGGAATCCTAATCTCCCAGGAGGTCAAGGATGTATTTACGGAGTCCAAGAATCTCCTGAAATTATCTGAAAAATTGTTGTGCCTTTTTTTTTTTGAAAGAGGGACTGTAACTTTCAGCAGATTTCAAAACTGAACCAAAAAAGAGTCGAGTGACACTTCCAAAAGGAAGGAACTGATGAGAATGGGTTTCATAGACCTGTGCTAGTGTGATAGGAATTCTGTGCTTTTCTCAGATTTCTTGTCATTCTCCATGAGGCATGAGGCACACAGTTTCAGGGACAATCCAAGTGTGATTCGATTTTGAAAATATCCCACCATACTCTGAGTCTACTTGTGAAGGTGTCACAACCTCAAACCTGGGGACTGTAGCTCTTGTAGTGGATCCTCAGTGGTACTATGTCTCATGTCTTGTCACATCTTTCTCCCAGAGCCTTCCTGTCAGGGCAGCAAGGATCAGGTTTCTGTCTCCTTGAGTCTGTCCCCAATGGCTGAGCTGTGTGTCAGGCAGGAGAATGGCTTATGAAAACTGGCCTGGGAGTGAGGAGTCCTGTGACCATTAGGTTGCTGTTGTCTGTTGTCTCTATCCACATGGTTCCTGCCTATCTTCTTATCACAGCCTTCTCACTTTGTCTATTTCTAATTTGTTCTTTCTAACCCACCTAGCTTTCTAAAACTCTATTCAGATGATCATGTCCCTTTCTTTACAAACTTTGGTAACTGCCTGCAGGTTATAGTCCAGACTCCTTAGGATAGGGTTTAAGGCTTTTTACAACCTGGCCTCTATCTGCTTTCCAACCTCAATCTCATTCACCTTGTATTTCTACTACACCAGATTTCTCACTGTTTCTGAAAGGAGCTATGAGTGTCCCTGCTTCCATGCCTTTGCTTGCTCTTTTTTCTGCTCTTGGAATGCTCCTGTTTCTTCCTCCCTTCCTCTCTTCTTCCCTTTCTTCCCCTTCCTTTACCTAATGAGGGCCTATTTCTTCATCAGGCCTGACTCAGGTGACTGTGAGAGGCACAATTAATGGTATTCTTCTCTAAACCCACAAACAATTTTGTGTCTTAATATGTAATCCAGTAAGACCGAGTTCCTCCTATATGCCAGGCGATGTTTTAGGTGCTAGGGTTATTATAGTCTCTGCCTTCATTCTAAAGAGGGAGGAGGAGGAGAGGACACACACACACACACATCTGTACATGTATATAAAGTGAACAATAAGGCTTTGAAGAAAAGTAATGTAACAGAGAGATAGGAGGTGATGGGAGTAGGGGTGCTATTTTTAGATAGAGTAGTCAGGGAATGCCAGTGCCTCTCTGATGAGATAACTTTTTGTGGAGAGAACTTTGAGGAGAGACTGAAAAAAGTGAGGAATCAAATCAGGGCTGTTTGGGGGAACAGCTTTGTGGGTAGAAAGTAGAACAGCTATAAAAGCCTTAGATTAGAGCATACCTGGCTTAATTAAGGAAGGGCAAGATGGCTAGCTTGGCTGGATTAGAGTGAATTGATATGTGGGGTTTTGTTTTGTTTTTAAGATTTTCTTTTTAAGTGATCTCTGCACCCAACATGGGGCTCAAACCCACAACCCTGGAGGCACCTCAGTGGCTCAGTAGGTTGGGCCTCAGGCTCTTGGCTTCAGCTTGGGTCATGATCTTGGGGTCCTGGGATTGGACCCCGCATCTGGCTCCGAACTCAGCGTGAGTTGGCTTGTCCCTCTCCTTCCCCCACTGCTTCTCCCCCCCCCCAATGCGTGCACTTTCTCTTCTTTCTCTCTAATAAATAAATAAAATCCTTAAACAAAACAAAACAAAAAAACCCACAACTCTGAGATCAAGAGTTGCATGCTCCACTGACTGAGCCAGCCAGATACCTCTCAATCTGTGTTTTAACTGGGTCACTCTGGCTGCAGTGTGGATGAATGAGTGAGTGAGTGGGTCTGAGAAATGAGTTTTTGCTGAATAGAACTCAGTAGCGCCTGAGGACATGGACTTGGTGGCCTTGACTTCCATTGGGTCTCCTGACCTAGAATTTGACTCTAAGGTGGTCTCCTCTCTTCTAGGCTTGGCAGCCTGGGTGTCATGGACTACTACCTGATGGATGCTGCTTCCTTGCTGCCTGTCCTGGCCCTTGGCCTGCAGCCTGGCGACACTGTGCTTGACTTATGTGCAGCGCCCGGGGGAAAGACACTAGCACTGCTTCAGACTGGCTGCTGCCGTAAGTCAGAGGCCTGGTGTCTTGGGCAGGGAGGGCTCCCTCCCTCACCCAGTCAGGGGCCTCCCGAATCGGATGGGCTCTCTGGTCCCAGGGTTAGAGGGGGTACAGTGCTCGCTTGCTAAGGTGGTGTATTTTTGTTTGCAGTTTTCTCCTCTCTTCCTCTGTCAGTTGGCCAAGGAATATTGCTGAGCCGAGCAAGGTCTCCGAAGGCAGATTAAACCAGGGCCCTGATCAATCTACGCATGACACTTTCATTCCTCTGTATCTGTTTACTTTTGTCTCTAAGGTTAGGTTCGTTTCCTTAGTCTGCCAACCAAAGCAGTAAGATCTGGCTGCAGCCACCCTTTATGGCTTTATGTCAGTCTTCCCCAGACTTTGTTTGCTTCAGCCACATTCTGCTACTCTCTGTTATTTGAATCAGCCTCCATCTTTTGCTCCTGTTCCATTTTCTCTCCAGAATACCCTCCACCCTATCCCAGCTGGCCTGCCTCTAGCCTTTTAGCTTTCGGCCTCAGCTCAAGTGTGCCACCTCCTGGAAGTCTCCCCTCATGACCTCTGTCGGCCGGTGGCAAAGCGTCGCCTGTGTCCTATGCTCCCGGGCCCGTGGGTGTCACCCTGGCAACCGTAGGCACATTAGCCTTGCACCAGAGCTTTACCGGGTACACATCGTCTCCCTCTTCAAGAATGAATTCCTTGGCGACAGGCCCAGGTTTTATTCATCTCAGTACTTGCAGCCCCCAGCCCGGGCCATGTGCACTATAAGTGTTCGGTTATCTACTGGCTGACGTCCTGCCTTAAAACAGGCAGCCTTTTTTCCCTGGAGACCGGAGAACTAGCCAGACGGGGGCTGTTGTTTTTCCACTCACCCTGGAGGTCAGTCAGGCTTCTCTTGCCTTATCCCTGAGCCTTTTTGGTGGGGCTCGCCCCTTCTCTTCCAGTTCTCGTCAGCCAGCTTGCACAGTTTGGGTTAGCTTCCAGCCTCATGGTTGGCCCTGTAGGTGATTGCAAGGTACCACATTTGATCTTACCTTTTGGAAGTGCAGAGGGAGAGGAGAAAAAATGTTGATAGGGTTTAATGAGTCCAGTGCAGGAGAGCCCAGCCTCTGTGCTGGGCTGTGCTGATCTGACTGAGTGCTGTGGGAATCCACGAGAAAGGGGATGAGTGAGGTGGGGTTACTTGGAAGAGGAGGAACTTGAACTTTTAACCCCTTTTAACCAATCTTTTCTTCCTGCCTTGAATTTGAATGTGATAACTGGAGTTCTAGCAGCCAAGAGGCAGGAGAAGAGCCAAGGAGAAGTCATTGAGAGTTGCTTTTCTAAGGTGTACTAAATTACCAGCACCTTGCCCCCTTCCCAGCTCCTTACCCAAGGGAGTCCTTCATCCCAGTGGAAGGAAGCAACTGAGTTTCCCTAGTTTAGCCCTCCTATTTTAGGGAGGGGGAAATTGAGTCCTAAAGAGATTAGATACTTTTACCTGAGTTGGAGATAGAGCCAGAACTGGAACCCAGCTTTTCTGTACTCCGTTCATGTCCTTCTGCAAATTCCGCTTGAGCAGAGAATCCGATTTTTACTTCTTTAAGTGCCCTCAAAAATTGAGACTCTATATCTTTGTGGGAACACTAAGCTGGCATGGTAGTGATCACTCCCATAAGGTATAAGGTATGCACTCTCTAGTTCTTCACCATAGTTCCTGCCTCTCCCTTTCACTTCATGACTCTGAGGCCAGGTATCAATCACAATTTATCATCAAGCTTGCAGTAATGTTTTCTCTTACAGTAGAGCCAAGAGCAAAGTGAACTATTTCTTGAACTTTGTGTCTGTCACAAAAGGGAAAGTAAAAGATAGATGGTGAATCAGTTAGGATTAGGTTTGCCATATACAATAGAAAATCAATGCACTGGCTTAAAGAAGGAAAGTTTTTCTCTCGTATATAAGAGAGCTGGGATATAGGCAGTCCAGGGCTGGTATGGAGTCTCCACAAACATCAGGGACTTGGGCTCCTTCTTTCTTTCTGCAGCCTATTTTATTTCAGGCTTCCATCCTCAGGATTGCCTCATGGTCCAAGATGGCTGCTAGAACTCCAGTTACCACATTCAAATTCAAGGCAGGAAGAAAAGATTGGTTAAAAGGGGTACATCTAATTGTGTTAGCTTCTTTTAAACATCTTCCCATAAGTCCCACACAATAATTATGCCTACAATCATTGACCAAAACTTAGTCATAAAAGGAGGCTAAGAAATGGGGCACATTGCTCCCCTCTCCCTCAAATAAAATTGGAGTTCTATTACTAAGGAATGAGAGGGAAAAAAATTTTGGTAAATAATGTGTGGTATCTTCCAAAAACGAAGAGAGAGACACATTTCAAAAAAGTAGGAGAGAGCATACTTATTTAGAAATATTCATACTTGGTCTACTTTATTTATTTATATATCCTCTCTGGCCTGGGTTTGTGGTTGCCTTTGCAACCCCTGCTTTAGAGTGTCTAGTACTGTGCCATGTACATAATAAACATGTCTTCTCCACTTGCCTCTGCCCCTGGGGTCTGCATTGATTGGCTATGCCCAATAATTGGTCTGACTCTCCATCAGCACCATTGCTGGTGGGATGTTTCGTTGGGGCATGGCCTTGAAGTTTCTTTATTCTCACAGGCATAAAATGTCCCTACTACCCACAACCATCTATAGATTCAGTGCAACCCCTATCAAAGTTCCAATGGCATTTTTTTCCAGAATTAGAAAAAACAATGCTAAAATTTATATTCCCACAGGCAATCTCGCTGCCAATGATGTGTCCACTTCTCGAACAGGCAGACTACAGAGGGTCCTTCACAGCTATGTGCCTCAAGATATCAGGGATAGAAATCGAGTTCGAGTCACCTCATGGGATGGCAGGAAGTGGGGAGAACTGGAGGGGGACACCTATGACCGGGTGAGTGATTCCTGACCTGAGACATCCAGCTAGCCAAATCTGGCCTTCCTGTCCCAGCTCCAGGTCCTCAGCAGGTAGGATCCAGCCCTCCATATTTGAGGATGGAGGGCCATTTCTGGACCTGGCCACCTCTCCATGGGTGATTGGGAGAACACAGCCATCTGCACAATCGTTGGTGGTATCTTCATTAGAGACAATTAGCAGGAAAGAGTTTGAACCTGACTGAGTGGGAAAAGGGTTAGTAGACTTATTTTACTTCTCAACTCACTTGGTTGCTCAGAAACCCTGATTAAAATAAATATGAATAAGCTAATTTATTTTTGAATATTAACACAGCACATGGTGCAAAATTCAGAAGGTGCAAAAGGGTATCTAGTGAGAAGTATGCTTCCCTTTTACTCCTGTCTCACAGCCATCCTTCCTCTCCCCACAGATGACCATTGTTTATATTTTCTTCTGTATCCTTTAAGATGTATCCTTTGTGGATATACAAATACAAATGTATGTGGTTCTTTTTTTTTAGAGAGAGAGTGTGGGCACATGTGTGCATGCAAGCAGGGCAAGGGGCAGAGGGAGAGAGAGAATCTCAAGCAGGCTTCACACTCAGCCCAGAGCCTGATGCAGGGCTTGATCTCACAACCTTGAGATCATGACCTGAGCTGAAACCAAGAGTCAGATGCCAAACCGACTGAGCCACCCAGGCGCCCCAATGTATGTGTATTTTTGAAAAAAGGAGTGGTGGTGTATTAATTTCACTATTTGAACTTTGTAGTTTTTTCATTTAGTAATGTACCCTGAGGTTCAGTCCTTTTAAGTTTTATGCTTTTTAAGTACCATTGCTGGAAAACAGTTTATATACATCTAAGATTTTTATTTATTTATTTTTTTTTGCATCTAAGATTTTGACAGAGTGTACTAAATCACTCTCTGTGGAGGCTCCATCGGCTTCCTTCCTACTGGTAACGCGGAAGAGTTCCATGTCCTCATATCCTGCCACCACTGGTGTTCTTAAACTTTTTGGGTTTTGCCAACTGATAGCATCTAATTTATATTCTCTTATTATGAATGATGTTGAAAGTCATTCCCTAGGGCGCCTGGGTGGCTCAGTTGGTTAAGCGACTGCCTTTAGCTCAGGTCATGATCCTGGAGTCCCTGGATCGAGTTCCGCATCGGGCTCCCTGCTTGGCAGGGAGTCTGCTTCATCCTCTGACCCTATCCCCTCTCATGTGTTCTCTCTCTCTCATTCTCTCTCTCTCAAATAAATAAATAAAATCTTTAAAGAAAAAAAAAAAGAAAGAAAGTCATTCCCTATCTTTAAGTTATTTGCATTTTCTTTTAATTGGCGTATTCTAAAAGTATTTATTAAAACATATACTTCTTTTTTTTTTTTAAGATTTTTTTTTTTTTTATTCATGAGAGACAGAGCGAGAGAGAAAGGCAGAGGGAGAAACAGGCTCCCAAGGAGCAGGGAGCCCGATGTGGGACTCGATCCCAGGACCCTGAGATCATGACCTGAGCCGAAGGCAGATGCTTAACCATCTGAGCCACCCAGGCGCCCTAAAACATATACTTCTAAAAATATAAAAAAAAATATATAGCTCTTGTCACTCTATTGTCATCTGACTTGATCTAATCTGTCTAGTTCTCACCATTCTGGCTCAACCACTCTAAGAAATTGAAAGACCAAGGCTTATAGAATCTTGGATAGGCTTAAGAGGCCTGCTTCTTGCCTGTGTAGGAATCCCCAGTTCAGCTTTTTTGACATGGAGACAGCAGAACGGAGTGGATAGAGCATGACCTCTGCTGTCCACCTAACCCGTGTCTGTACCACAGGGCTGCCACTTACTGACTTTGGGCAAGTTGCTTCCTCTTACTGAAATTTCAGCCTCTTCATTTGTAAAGTAGGGAATATTGCTATGTAGGACTATGCAGATGATTCACAGAGCGTGTTTGAGGAAAGCACTTAGCACAGTACCTGGCCATGAAGATTAGACCCCTAGCTGTCATCGTTACTCAGCCTGTGCTTGCACGCTTCCATAATCATTATTAATTTACTTGGAGTTTCTGCTTAACTAAAATTCACAGATCTCTTCCATAGATGATTTCTTTGGAAACATAAATTATAGAACTTTTTCTTTTGTTTTAATTTTTGTTTTTGTCTCTTGTGCCTAGCACAGAGTATAGGCTCTTAGTGAATGCATGAATGATTTTATATTTCTCACTTTAAAACTTTTCCATATTGGATATGATGTTTCAGCATAAAATAATTTTGAGTCCTGATCCTGTTATTCAGTCTATTAGCTACCTTCTGGGCATTCTATCACCTGTAAATTGGATGTTTCATTCAAATAGCTAAGGACAGAGCCAAGGACAGAGCCCTAAAGCATGAAAGACTTCTTTCTAGGAAGCACCTGGCTGGCTCAGTTGGTAGAACACGGGACTCTTGATCTCAGCATTGTAGGTTCGAGTCCCATGTTGTTGGGTGTAGTGATTACTTAAAAATAAAATCTTAAAAAGGAAAAGAAAGACTTCTTTCTAGGTCTATATCAGTTAATTTAATTGTAGTTATTTGGGTATTGGCTTTGGCTTTTTGACCAGCCATGAGTATACCTAAATATACCATTTTCCCACTCATTATTTCACAGTTGTCTACCAGGTTAAAATGAGAAGCTTTGTCAGATACTCTGCACCGGAAGGATGGGCAGAGGGAGCACTGTGGAAAACCTCTCAGGGCAAGGGCCCAAGGGAGAGAGCGTGTAAGGAGCTCTAATACTGTGCCCTTTACCACCTCTGGGCAGGTGCTGGTGGATGTGCCCTGTACCACAGACCGCCACTCCCTTCACGCGGAGGAGAACAACATCTTTCAGCGGTCGAGGAAGAAGGAGCGGCAGATGTTGCCTATGCTTCAGGTGCAGCTGCTCGCGTGAGTAACAGATTTACCCACGCTCTCGACTTCGTGCCACAGTGTTCCAGGGGGCTGGTCGCCTGGGGGATCGGAAGCTCTTGCCACAACCATCGTCCCCAGAAGGGTCTTCTGATCGAGGAACTCCCTGGAGGAGACAGACATGATAGGAGGGTCCTCTGGAACATGAAAACCCTATGTGGTAGGACACACATAGGGTGGGCCGCACAGATTCATTTACGTTGCCTTACCTCCATGCTAGTCCTAGTCCCAGTGAGTAGCACAAGTTTGAAATCTTGAAAAAAGTGACTGAAGTCGAGGCCCTGTAGGGCTGGTAAGGACTCAGTGCATCGCTAGCTAGCGTCAGCGTTTGGACCATAAGCAGAGTCAGAGTTCAGGGGATTGCTTCTGGCGGAGAGCCCATGGAGTAAGGTTGGGTTGCTCTCTGCCTTGAGAATGACTCTTCTGGTGTATCTATGTGGAAGGGACTTCAGAAGCTAACACAGCTGCCCATCCCACAGTAGACTCCAATATCCATGCTTCCAGCTCCCCCTGTTGTCCTTCTGCTTCTGGGAAGCTCATTAGTCACTGCTTTTCTCTCTTTCTGGTTTCAGGGCTGGACTCCTTGCCACCAAACCAGGAGGCCATGTTGTCTATTCCACCTGCTCACTCTCACACTTACAGAACGAGTATGTGGTGCAAGGCACCATCGAGTTCCTGGCCAATCAATACAGCATCAAGGTTCAGGTGGAAGACCTGACTCACTTCCGAAAGCTTTTCATGGACACATTTTCTTTCTTCCCATCCTGCCAGGTTGGGGAGCTGGTAATCCCAAACCTCTTGGCCAATTTTGGGCCTATGTACTTTTGCAAAATGTGTAGGCTGACATAGCATCACCCTGTTCCCGAAGTCCTGGTGTAGGAGGGTGAAGGGTATACTCCCGTGGAGGCACCAGAAACTGAGACCCGTGGCAAAGATGCACTCTGGGTCCTATCTCCATCCTGTTCAAGTCTTTCTATAGACAGTTTTCAGCGTTAGAAAGTAGGAGTTTTTCTGTCCTGCTGTCCAGTTGTGAGAGCATCAGCAGGTTTCTAACTCACTTATTATACCCTCTCCCCCCATTTCTAAGCCTGTGCTAAAGGTTCCTGCCCCATTAAGAGCTGAGAAGGAGGAGCCAGTGAGCAGGCCCACACTTTAAGCTGTAAACTTGGGAAGAAGCATTTAGCCAATAAAACTGTTGAAGCTCCATAGAGCTGGGGCTGTAGTTGGGGCCTCCTGTCAGTCCAAGTACTGTTAGTGCCGTTTGTACCAGCTGCCATTACTGAGCACCAGCTCCTAGGGCCCCAGTGCCCAGGAGACCTCTTGGTGGCAGCCTGGTGGCAGACCTCTGGTGACAGAGCACCTCTCACACTTGAAGTGAGTTCTGCGTGTGATCAGTCCTCAGCAACCGATGGGCCCAAACACGCCTCCGTAGTTCCTTCAGACAGCCCCCGATCAAATTTAAGGAACAAGCAACTAAAAATGTTAAGCCAATCATGATAATCCGCTTCCTAGCGCTGAGAAAGCTCTCCCGAGCTGCGTCCTTGCAGCCGCTCCTGCCGCCCACATCACTGCTGCCCCGGGTGGCAGGGGAAGCTGCCCAAACCACAGGGCTGTGATCCTCTCCTGGGCGCTTCTGCCGTCGTTCATCCCTGTAGCAGGTGTTCCTGGAGCTCCTGTAGGACAGGTAGCCGGGGAGCTGTTGGAGGTGTAGCGGCAGTTGGGACCGTGGGAGATGAGACTCCTCGTCCTCCTTCATGGCAGCTCTCCTCCTTTTGCTTTCCGAGCACCTAGGCATCTGATATCTTTTTCTGTTATATTATGCTTTTTGTTTTGTTTTTCTTGTTCCTGGTCTGTGGCTGAGCCCTGGTTCTAGTTGTTTGGCCTAGCCCTCGGTCCCTCGGAGCTCTTCCCCAGCAGCACAGGGCCTCCCCTCCCTGAGGGTATGAGGTTTGGGGCAATATTACATCATTCTGACTGCATGCTAATTATGTTGTCTTTGTCACTCTAACATAAAGAAGGTAATCCCTTAATGGCAGGGATATTAAAAATTGCTTATGGTCACTTGTAAATTATTGCTTTTTTTAATGAAAAAAATAATTTTTCTTCCTGAGAAACTGGCCTTTGTGCAGAAAAGGGAGCATAATTTTAGAATACTTATGTTCTTCGTTTTCTTTCTTTTTCCCTCCTCTTTCTTTTTCCCTCCTCTTCTTTCTCTCACTCATTTTGTTCTTTATGCCTTTCCTGCTAATGGTATTAGAGGTGTCAGCTGAGAAGGATTTTGGATAAGGTTAAGCCTTCTCTTTTCTTGGGATTTGCGTTGTAACTGAGTGCCCTGAAACATCTTTCAGACTCCAAGTCCAGTGAAGCTAGGAAGATGGAGCTCCAGGGAGTAGGACTTCAATTAGCCTCCATGTGTGGTATGTGGCCCCGGCCTGCTGTTTACTCTCAGTATTGGCTGAGGCTGGGAGGCCTCAGGCGCCTGGGTTTCTGCCCTTGGCCTCCTGGGTATCCAGCCTGGTGCTAACAATGCTAAAAGCAGTGCTAATTCAAGATTGGGTCTCCTGCCCCTGGGGTCCCAGTCTAACTGGGGACAGACTGACTCAGGTTGGAAAGGCAAAGAACTACTTTGGAAAAAAGTTTGATTATCTCCTGTAATTGAACATCTACTTACTCTACAGCGCAGTTATTCCAATACTAGGGATAAATCCAAGAGAAACTCATACATGTACACCAGAAGATTTGTACAAGATTGGTTCATAGCAATCCCCAAAGGAAACGCAAATGCCCATGAGCAGCTGAGTGGACAAATAAACTGGAATATTCACACAATGGCATATTATATGGCTGTCAAATGAAGCACAGTGATACAAAACAGTATGGATGAACCTTTAAAATAAAATATTAAATGAAAAAAGTTCAGTCCCAAAAGATTAAATGTAGCATGATGCCATTTAAAAAAAAAAAAGGAAAACATGAAAATTTGTTACTATTTGCAGACAATATAATTGATAATTTTAAATGTACTGTTTAATGAATTTTGATAATTATATATAATAATATAATCACCATCACCATCAAAATATAGAAAGTAATTCTATCTTCTAAAAAGCTTCCTTGGGGCACCTGGGTGGCTCAGTTGGTTAAGCATCTGCCTTCGACTCAGGTCATGATCCCGGGGTCCTGGGATCGAGCCCCGCATTGGAACTTGCTCATAGGGGAGCCTACTTCTCCCTCTGCCTGCTGCCCCCCTACTTGTGCTCTCTCTTGTCAAATAAATAAATAAAATCTTTACAAAATAAAAAAGATAAAAAGCTTCCCAGTGCTCCTTTGCACTCAATCCCCTTCCCCCATCCTTGGCCCCAGGAAATCACTGCTTTCTGTCACTAGAATTTAGCCTAGTCTAGAATTCCTAATGTGCCATTTAAAGTCTGAAGCTCCCCTGATGACTCCCAGGGTCACTTCCTTTACTGGTTTACTTATGGTGAATAAGTTAACATTACTAATGGTTTATAACTGGCCTAACGGGTTACGTGTTTCTGGCTTGATTACATGGCCAGAGTAGCATAAAAACCCTTCCGTGAACTTCTAATTTGAGCTCTCCCAAAGCCAAGATTCCTTACGCAGATCATAGTGATTCAAACAAAAGATAGAATGCTCTGTTGCACATCCTTGCTAATACTTGGTATTGTAAGTTTTAAACTATATTCCAGTGGGTGTCTCTGAGTATCTCATTGTGGTTTTAATTTGTATCTCTGTCATGTTTTAGAGTTAAATACAACTAAGAATTCAAAAACTTTTTTTTTTTAAAGATTTTATTTATTTATTTGACAGAGAGAGAGATAGCGAGAGCAGGAACACAAGCAGTGGGAGTGGGAGAGCGAGAAGCAGGCTTCCTGCCGAGCAGGGAGCCCGATGTGGGACTCGATCCCAGGACCCTGGGATCATGACCTGAGCCGAAGGCAGACGCTTAACGACTGAGCCACCCAGGCGCCCTCAAAAACATTTTTAACAAACACATATGCCATAAAACTATGTAAAAAGGACGGAAGGGTTCTCACTGTGGGATTCAGGATAATGGTTCCCACAGGTAAGGGGGACAGGATGGAGCCGGAGGGAACATATAGTTAGATTAGGTTATTGTCAACTGAATGAGTGAAAAGCTATGCATAAAAGTATGTTGTACATGATAAAAATGTGTCATGAAAAAGGATTTTGATTAATCCAATTTTGTGCACATGATGACCAAAAAAATAGAGGGGTAGAGAACCAGCTCACAAAGTATAATAGTGCTGAATGTGGCTTGATAGGGGCTGTGGGAGGGGCTATATCTGGAGACCTGGAAGCTTAGCTATGTTGCCTCAGTCTTCCTCGTGGGTTCCCCTTTCTGTGTGACATACAATAGCCCATCCTTGGCAGAGGACCAAGTGTTGGGACAGTCATGGGTCACATTAGAGAGATGGTTTGGGTCTGTGGTTTTCACCTTGTTGGGGGGTAGGGGTCATAAATCTGTCTGAGAGACTGGTAAAAGCTTTGGCAGTCTCAGGGGAAGAATGCATTTTACACACAATCCCGGGGTTTGGGCGCTTCCTACAGACCATCTGCAAACCCCAAGTTAAAAACCTTTAGGGAAAAAAACACCAAAAACTTTGGATTAGAAGGTCTCAGGATTTGAGGGTCTTTAGAGGAGGGCAAGGGGGGGCAGGCAGAGCCCCAGTGGCTAACTCCAATCACCACTTTCTCTTCTGCCAACTTGCTCTTCCTCACTGTGTGCGTTCCTCACCTCCCAACACAGCGCCACCATGGGCCCTGCTGCCCAAGCCAGAACCGTGGCTGCCCTTGACGCCTCATTCCTAACAGCAGTGGTGGTGATGGCTACTGCGTGTTGAGCAGTTGTCTATCCCAGACTGATGCTAAGCATTGTTTTATAGGCATCCTTGTTTCTTACCCTCACAAAAACCCTGAGAGATAGGTACTCTTTTTAGTTCCATTTCATAGATAAGGAAACAAGCTTGGACCTCTTAAGTAACTTTTTTTTTGGTCTTTTATCCTTTTAATCAAAAAACTTTTACAACACATATTTTGATACATAATTTGTTAGGGAAGCAACAATTGTCTAATTGTGGATATGACTTTATGTACATTTCAGTTTTTAGGTAAAATATGGGGATGTCCTTATCTCACCAGTGACTTTCCTTAAGTAACTTTCTTCCATAGATAATTTACTCATTTTTTAAAAAAGATTTTATTTATTTATTTGAGAGAGATAATCTTCAGTAATCCCCCTAACAAAATGTTTGCCATATTCTCTAACCCATTGTATGCTTGACTCTATGTGCTGATATAAAATGGTATTATGTCTGATTGCTAATGAGTCTGGGTTTATTTTTAAGTTTTTTTTTCCTTCAAAAAGCCAAATTGTATGTATGTATGTATGTATTATTTTTTTTTATTTTTCACCCAGTTACCCCACCCCCCACCCAGACCACTCAAGTAACTTTCAAAAAATTACACACAATCAGAAATTTCTTTCTTGATCCCTCTAAAGCAGTCTGAAAGAGGTCTAGTATGCTGAAGCGTAGAAGGGGATGGTTGTGGAATCCGAGGTTAGAGAAGCAGGCAGAAGCCAACTGCTCCAGGAGTAGGTGTTTTGTCCTGAGTAACTGGAAACCATCATAGGATTTTTAAGCCAGAAAATGATCTGATCAGATTTCCGTGGGCCTCCTACTGGGAATATGATTATCAATAGTATTTGCTGAATGAGGAAATTAGATAGCTGGCTGAACAAAGCATGCTTCTGAAGGTCAGTCCCCTCCTTCAGCTTACTCAGCCTTCATTTCTTTGAGTAAATGGGAATTGCTGAATGCCAAGCAGCTCAGACTGCATTTTGAGGTGACACATTAGGAGGCACGTTGGCAAATGGGTAGAGCCTGAGGAGGGTGACCAGGACAGAGAGGAAACTGAAAGTCTCAGCCTGGGAAGAGGAGTTGAGGGAATTGAGAGTATTACACCAGGAGAGGGGAACACCTGGGCGAGAGAGATGGCCTCTCTCAATAGGACTGTTCTGAGGCAGGGTGGGCAGAGGTATTTTGAGTGTCCCCAGGGGCAGAGCTGGGGCCAGTGGAAAGAAGGTGTAGTGGGCCAGATTGCAGGTCACCATAAGAAATCTTTAGTGTTTTTTTTTTTTTTCCCTAGATTTTATTTTTAAGTAATCTCTACACCCAACATGGGGCTCGAACTCACAACCCCAAAATCAAGACTGGTCTCCACAGACTGAGCCAGCTAGTCACCCCTAAGTTAGTGTTTTCTGAATTATGCTTCACAACCATGATACATCAATGGCCATGAAATCAGTTTTATGGGTATGGAGAGCAGTAGGACTTTTCACAGATACCTAGTTACTCATCCTCCTGGGCCCTTGGCAGAGTTGCCTTCCCCACACTCTCTGCAGTTAGGCATGGCCATGTGACTTGCTTTATGAAATATTAGCAGAAATTTTTTTTTGGTAAGATTTTATTTATTTGACAGAGACACAATGAGAGAGGGAACACAAGCAGGGGGAGAGGGAGAAGCAGGCTTCCCGCTGAGCAGGGAGCCCGACGAGGGTCTCGATCCCAGGACCCTGGTATCACGACCTCAGCTGAAGGCAGATGCTTAACGACTGAGCCACCCAGGCGCCCCAGAAATATTGTTTTTCTTCCACATTTCTGGATGAAAGCTTTGAACGTGAGCATCAGATTTGCTGTGTCATTCCCACCATGGGAACGTTGGTTGAGATGGAAGCTGCATTGGCTTGAGTACCCTGGTGACTGTGTTGAGCAGAGCCCCCATGGACCTGCATGACACATGTGGTGAGAGTGAAAAATAGCTGTGGTTGTGTGAAGCCACTGAGAATTTGTGTTGTGACTGAAGTAGAACTTAGTCTATCCCGACTGATGCAGTGGGCATAGACCAGCTCTGCATTTTTAATGAAAAAGAATAGAAAAAATACCAGATGCACCCCAATGTGTAGTGACAGCAGATCAGTGGTTGCCTGGGTGGGCTAGGGGGAGGATAAGATTGGGGAGTGAAGACAAAAAGAATAAATAGATAAAATATGAGAGGGGCTTGGATGGATCCATGATGATAATGTGCTGTACACTGAGGAGTGTGATGAACTCAATCATCTGTACCTGAGGGAATGAATGAAAGACTGAACAGACCATTGGTCAGTAAAGGTGCTAGTAGTGTAAGTTACCTAGGGAGTTGAGTGGGATGGCCTCCCGGGACGACTTTCCCCTGATCCAGAGAGCTGAATGGTCAGGAGGGGGAGTGTGACCAAGAAGTGGGCAGGTAATTTGGGACTCCTACAATATCAATGTCCTTTTCTCTCCCCGCCTCCCCTTTTTGTTTGTCCCAACAGACCAGAGTCACTCAGCTCCTTTCTGTTCTGTTCCTTTCAAGCCCTGATGCCTTTAGTGGTTGCCCTTCCCAGATTGGGGCACTTTATTTCCAGAGTAGTTCTTCAGACTTGAACCTGGACTGTTACTTTATTTATTGAAGAGGGTAAGGAGAGGCCCCAAAGTCGAAGCAGTTCCAAGCAGTACTCTCTGTATTCCCATGATGGTCCTCATGGCCCAGTCCTACTTGGATCTTCCCCAGAGCTCCCCTAGGGAAGACCTTGGCTCCCTCTGGTGTCTTGAACTGCTTCTCCTTTTCCTTCAGTTTGATATCACCTGCTTTCGATCTTCTAAGAATTTTACTTTTTTTTTTTCTGGTTTGCCAATAAATAGCTCGTTTTTCTTCTAAAAATACTTTTTTCTGTTATTTTAATGGAGAAGGTAATTGTGTGCTTTACCTGCCATCTGGAACCTGAGGCTTCTGAATTGGGTCTTAAAGAATGAATAGAAGTTTGCCAGGCATTGTGTGTTGTAGGGTTGGGGTGGTTGGAAGAAGAGTATGGAGGAACCCTGGACATGAGATGTCAAGGAAAATAGTGTGTCCAAAGGCACAGGACAACACTGGGGCCTAAATTGTTTGAGGAAGGCTGGGAAGTTAGCTAGGACCTTTCTTCATACTCGTGCTCATTCCAACAGCCTGCCAGGACCATTAGATCACTGAGCTTTAACCCTATCTGTATGTTCACCCAACCCACAGAACCAAATGTGGGCATCTGCCAGAACCGTGGGCTTAGATGCCGCTGTTTGTGAAGGAAGTTCTAAGCAGGCTGTTGCCCGCTAGAGAAGCCAGAGGGCTTGACAGTTGCATGCCCAGACTGCCCGCACGGTAACATCAGTCACTGCAGACAGCAGCTCTGCCCCTGCCGGTTTCAAGGGAACTCACGTTGGTGGAGCCAGGAATCACACAGGTTCTAGCCCTGGCGAGCCAAGGGCAAGAAGCCAAGTGAGAGGAGGCCTCTTGGGGTTGTATTGAGGCTCATCAGCAGGCAGGCCCTGGAACCTGTGGGGGGATCCTGGAAAGAGAGAAGGACCAGAGTCCCCTGAGGGAACCCTGGGTGGCAGATTTGTTTTAGACACAAAGAAATTCAATCCATCTCCGGTCAAAATTTTCAGTGTCCCTCAAAGGGATACCGATCTGCTTTACAAAAGCCCTCTTCATTTGGCAAAAACGATTCCCCAGATGAGCTTTAACACAGATTTTTTTTTTAAAGATTTTATTTATTTAATTGACAGAGAGAGAGAGAGACAGCGTGAGAGGGAACACAAGCAGGGGGAGTGGGAGAGGGAGAAGCAGGCTTCCTGCTAAGCAGGGAGCCCGATGCGAGGCTCGATCCTAGGACCCCAGGATCATGACCTGAGCCGAAGGCAGACGCTTAACAACTGAGCACCCAGGCGCCCTAATTATTTGTTATTTTATTTTATTTTATTTTTAAAGATTTTATTTATTTATTTGACAGAGCGAGAGAGGGAACACAAGCAGGGGGAGTGGGAGAAGGAGAAGCAGGCTTCCCGCAGAGCAGGGAGCCCGATGCGGGGCTCGATCCCAGGACCCTGGGATCATGACCTGAGCCGAAGGCAGACGCTTAACGACTGAGCCACCCAGGCGCCCTTTAACACAGATTTATGTTAGGATTTGATTTACATGCAACCTACCAAGAATATGCTCTCCGTGAAATAAGAGGTACGTGTGTAATAATGGCTTCCCAGTGCTTCTCAGGAAGGGAGGTCTGTGCTTTTCTGCACGTCTGGCTTTCAAAAACTGGTTTGCCACCCACGAGGTGTTGTCTCCCACGCCATCTTGGAGAGAAGAGCTTATGGCATGGGAGCTGACTCAACGCTCATATTGATGTCACTGGATCCAAGTGAAAGATACGAAATTCAGGATCAAAATAAAAATGTTTCCCCTAGTAAAATTGCTACTGTATGGCTCATTTCTAGTCACGTTATTTTATTATTTTACTTTATACAGCCTTTGCTAGATGTCAGGCCCTGTTCTAAACACTTTACTAACATTAACTCATTTAATTCTCATAACCAGTGAGGCAGTACAGTATCCCCACATTACAGATAAGGAAACTCAGGGGCAGAATGGCGAGGAAACTTGCAGTTTCAAATACATTTAGGAGGGAGAACACATAGCATTGCGTGAGTGTCCAAAGAGTGCATGGGCTAAAACGGGTTGAGAAAAAGATTTAAGGGGAGGTGTGGTTGATGTGTTTCCAAGCTAACCAATAAGAACTTTGAATAGGGGTGCCTGGGTGGCTCAGTCGTTAAGCATCTGCTTCGGCTCAGGTCATGATCCCAGGGTCCTGGGATCGAGCCCCGCATCGGGCTCCCTGCTCGGCGGGAAGCCTGTTTCTCCCTCTCCCGCTCCCCCTGCTTGGGTTCCCTCTCTAGCTGTCTCTGTCTCTCTCTGTGTCAAATAAATAAATAAAATCTTAAAAAAAAAAAAAGATAGGGGCGCCTGGGTGGCTCAGATGGCTAAGCGTCTGCCTTCGGCTCAGGTCATGATCCCAGGGTCCTGGGATCGAGCCCCGCATCGGGCTCCCTGCTCCGTGGGAAGCCTGCTTCTCCCTCTCCCACTCCCCCTGCTTGTGTTCCCTCTCTTGCTGTGTCTCTCTCTCTGTCAAATAAATAAATAAAATCTTAAAAAAAAAATAGGAATTTTGAATAACAGTTCTAAAGTCTAGATGTCTGTGTCCATATTCCAGAGGCAGCAGCGAGTCTCAAAGATCCAGCTTTGACTGACCGTCGGGCCCCCCACTGGCGATGTAGTATTGAGCAAGTCACTGGTGGACCTCGGTTATTCATGTGGGCAAGGGGGATCAGGAGGTATATCAGTTAGCTGATGCTTTATGACAAATTCACCTCAAAATTAGTGGTTTAAACACCATTTATTATTCTCTCAGTCTACCCGTGGGCTGGTGGTTCTGCTGGGCTAAGCTGGGCTTGGCTAGGCTCGCTCACGTATCTGCATGTAAGTGGCTCTGCTTATCTTGGCTGGGCGCCATCCCTTGTGTGAGGGCCTGAGCAGGGACGACTGGGCTGAGTAGGTTCTCCCACACATGGTCTCATCCTCTGGCAGTCTAGCTTACCGAGACTCGTTCTCATGGTAGTGGCAGGGGTCCAGGAAAGGGAGGGAAAATTCTCTTGCAGCCTAGACTCAGAACTAGCAGGGCATTCTATTAGTTAACACGATCCACCAAGGTCAGCCCAGGTTTCCAAGGGGGAGGAAATAGATTCCACCTCCTGAAGGGAGGAGCTACAAAGTTATTTTGCAAAAAGCACAGATCTAGAAAGGGGTGGAGTATTGGGATCATTTATGTAATCAAGTTACCACAGGAGATAGATTCCCCTAACTCAGAGGACAGTGTTGGGGTAGTGGGGGCCTTTAAGGTGGTAAGGAGGCTCAGACAGCTGAGGTCAAAGGCTTGACAGGGCTTTGAGAATGATAAAGCACCCCGCAGTTAGTGCTTCTAGTACCCCACCTCACCTGTGGGGCTGTGAGTTCTTGCTGTGTCCCTCTCCTGCCCACCCCTTCGGTACCGAGGAAAGTCTCACCCCCGTGAAAGAAAACGGAGAAGTAGAGCAGTTACTGACAACAGGGGCACACACTGTGTTCTCAACCCCAGAACAAAGACAGACTTTAAACCCTCTGGAATCGGAGAAGCTCTCTTCCCTTCTGCAAGCTCTCCTTCCCCTTCTTGCAGCCCTGCTCCCACCTCCAAGGGGACTTGGCAGGGTATCACTGGTCTGCCCAACAACTGAGGACACACAAGGATGACTTGCTGAAGGTGACCAACTAATGGGGGAGGACCCCCCGGATCCTGGTCAGGGAACCCACCAGCACCTGCCTGAGGTACTGTCAGTAAGAGCAACTCACCTGGCACTGTACCTCCTGAGTGTGGGTACCTGCTGTGTGGCTCCCAGAACCGAATGGTGTTGATTTACAGATGCTAACACAAGGCGGAGCCCTGGAAACCCTTCCCCCTCTGGATCCTCGAATCTGCTTGCTCTTCCTTTCCATGGCCTTTGTCTCCCGCTTCTCCTCCATATTACCTTCCCCAAACACTGGTAGGGTTGCATCACATTCCTGCTTACTAATGAACTAATGCTTATTGAGCTCTTACAATGGGCCGGGTGCTGTTCTAAGCTCTTTCCTTGATTTAACTAATTGAATCTTCCCAATTCTGTGATGTAGTCCCTAGTATTATCCCCCGTTTTCCAGATAAAGACACTGAGGCACGAGAGGATAAAGTGACTTATTCAAGGTTACTTTGTAAGCAAGTGGCAAACTTAAGATTAAAACTCAGGCAGTCTGGTTCCTGAGCGTGGGCTCCTCAGGCCAGAAAACCCCTCTCTATTTTTTTTTTAATAATAAATAACAATAATATAATGATTAACATGCATGGAATCCTTACTGTATGTTAGGTCCTGTTTTGACTGTGTTAGGTGCCTTAACTCATCTGATTCTTATAATAGTACTAGAGACTTGGGGGAGGGGGAATACCATTATTGTCCTCCTTTTACAGGTAAGAAAACACAGTTACACAACAAGGATGGGTTGCCAGGCACTTTAGTTTCAGAGCCAAGCTTTATACGTCTGTACTGTCTACTTCCCCAAGGTCTGTTCAGTCCAAGAGCCCAGCATCCAAAGGCTCTTTGGGTTTATGCAGTATGATCTCTGCATTTCCACCAAAGTATATCTTTTGTCTCTTGGTCTATGCATGTCTTTTCCTTCCCAACCAGACCTTGAGCTCCACAAGGCCAGATCTGAGGTTTGTTTCTTGCCTCAGTTTCCCCAGGTCACAGCAAGAAGCCTATCAAATGGAAGCAGGGCTCAGTGGCAGTCTTTTGAATCAAACCACAGTATGTCAGAAGGTGAAGAGATCCTCTCTCAGAGGAGTGAAGTCGCCACCCACCATGACCTGTACTTTAGAATTGGTCCAGGACTTGCTGCCTTACAGTGACTTACAAGACCCTCAGGTCTGGATTCTTCCAATACATGTGTGAAAACTCATAACAGGAGACTTCGTTTATTATTTTATTTTTTAAATAAACTCTACACCCAATGTGGGACTCAAACTCATGACCGCAAGATCACGAGTTGCATGCTCTAGCAATTGAGCCAGCCAGGTGCCCCAGGAAACCTCATTTAAAGCGCAGTCACCAGGCCAGAAGGAAGAGCTCTCATGCCCTGTCACTCAATTGCAGACCCAACAGGAAATGACACACCTTACAAATTCACACTATTTTACTACCCAGCTGGAGGGGAAAAAAAGCTTTTCTCCTCCCCCAGCAACAGCTGGCCAAAGAGAAATGTCATAACTCAGCCAATGAAAAGCCACTATACTTCATATTCCCAGTTTACTCCAATGGACTTTTTGTTTCTTTCTTTTTTTTTTTTTTTTAAAGATTTTATTTATTTGACAGAGAGAGACACAGCGAGAGAGGGAACACAAGCAGGGGGAGTGGGAGAGGGAGAAGCAGGCTTCCCGCAGAGCAGGGAGCCCGATGCAGGGCTTGATCCCAGGACTCTGGGATCATGACCTGAGCTGAAGGCAGACGCTTAATGACCCAGGCACCCCTGGACTTTTTGTTTCTAATAGCCCTTCCTAACTTACCCCTTTCCTGTGTAAAAGAGCTGTCCTCTCCTTTGTTCCCTGGGCCTGCCTGTGGCTTTGGCCTGGCTTGGTTGTCAGGAGTTGCAACTCTCTGCTATTCTGGAATAAACCATTTTGCTGTTAAAATAACTGATTATTTATTTATATATAAATGAACATTTATTTCATTATTTATTTTAGAGCAGAGGGAGAGGGAGAGGACCTCAAGCAGACTCTGAGCTGAGTGTGGCAATGGTGGTGGGGCTCATCCCCACGCCCTGAGATCCCGACCTGAGCCAAAATCAAGAGTCGGTAGAC